TTTTCCGATGAAATGCTTTGAAATTTTTAACATTGTCATGAATTAGGATATCCTACAATATAATATGGAAAAAATTTCATGAAATCACGCGCATGCACGTGCGCTGCAATCTGATTGGCTGAAACTTTAAATGGCTATATCTCCTTTATTTTTTGACGAAATGCTTTGAAATTTAAAACATAGTCATGCATTAGGATATCCTGCAATATGATATACAAAAAATTTAGAGAAATCACGCGCATGCACGTGTGCTGCAATCTGATTGGCTGAAACTTTTAATGACCATATCTCCTTTGATTTTTGACGAAATGCTTTGAAATTTGAAACATAGTTATACATTAGGATATTCTACAATATGATTTAGAAAAAAAATTCTTGAAATCACGTGGATGCACGAGTGCTGCAATCTGATTGGCTGAAACTTGAAATGGCTATAATTCCCTTGGTATTCAACCAAACAGGATGGGATTTAGAACATAGATAGATATAAGGGCCTCCTACAAGAAGGTATGGTCATCATGCACGTGCACGCACGTGCGTGCATTTGGAACGAATGAAATCGAAAATACACTTGAATGAGTGATTTTTAATACTTTTGGACTTAATGCTTTCATATAAAGTATATTTTAGTATATAGAAAGTTTAGACAAGAGTATATGATCATTATGCACGTGCATTCACATGGGCACGCGTGCAATGTTAAAATTTGAATATAATTGGTATCATTTTGGGAAAACGTTGTTAAAGTCAAAAATGCACAGATGTTGTCTTATTTAATAAGGCTTACAGGGAATATGGCACCAAAAGGGAGTTGGGGAGCGTTTGGGGAACATCTGTAACGGTTCCCGTTACAATTAGCACTAGTTAAGGTCTTCCGTCTTCAGCGGAAGACCTTATTGTTTTTCTTAGGTTTCTTTTCCACTATTTAGGGTCTTCCGCTTCCTTCGGAAGACCCTACTGTTATTCTATTGTTTCTTATTATTCTTTTTTTTTTCCCGCTCGACTTTTGACAGGCGATTTCTCAAAGACCTTTGGACTGATCGTTATGAAACTTTCAGGATAGATAGCTTGTAGTTAAACCTATTTAAACCTGTTTTCAGTTTTTTTATGCATGCCTTTATTTGTGAGTTATTGCCCTTTAATTGAAAATTTTTGATGTCTCGTTTCCACTGAAAATCTCAAAAATGACATAAGATATTTACACGAAAGTTGGAGAACTTGAAACCAATACATTGTAGATGTGCACAACGATAAAATTATATAGCTGATTTCTTAAAGTTTGGAAGCTATAAAACGGCAAATTTTAGTAATTTTTTTTCTTTGAATTTTTGCTACTTTTTGTGTAATAACTTTTAAACCGAGAATAATTTGGTAAGAAATATATTACAAAAGTTGTGGGTAATTACGAGAGCTTTTATATTTGATTAACGAAAAGGGGCTGGCCCCTATAATTAGGGGTTAATAGGTCATACACGTTTTTTTCTGATAGCTAAAAATATTGGTATATTATGAAAAAGTTTGACTGAAATAATTTCGAACTTTAAAAATCTTGTCATTTGATATAAAAAGAAATAAACTTCCAGCTATATATAATTGTTTTTTTTAATAAAACAAGTACATGTATGTGAGAAACCTTTCAGGAACAAGTTGTCTACTATAGCCAGCCAAGCCTTTACTGCATACATGTGCACATTTTTAGTTGGTGCATCTAAAAGATATAGTTTTGATTCGGTGTTTCTTTGTTTTCTTTTTATTCAAATAATTTTAAAATGTGATGATGTACACAACAATAATTAGTACCTAGTTTAGAGGATTTTTTCGCGCTTGCTTGTAAACAACGCGCGGCATTGTGGGAATTAGGAAGGTACTAAAGACGCGATGTACTAAACACTGATTTGACCTGATTCAAATTTGTCTGTAAATGTTCCAAACAATTGAATTTTTGTATAGCATATGCCTCGAAGTCATAAAGTCTGTACATAAGTAATTTAAAATACTCAATATTACCATTTAATTAAAAATTAAAACGTCAGGTAAATATCAGGTCTGTAGTATATCCCGTTTTTAGTGTGCCCCTTCGAGTCGACGTCGGCCACATGTTTGCCATGGTTTACAAACTGAAAATAGAATGATTTGTGAAGTTGAACATTTTCTCACAAAGAATCCGTTTGTAGACATGTACACTCATTTAATCTGCAGCTACGAAGTACTTTGTCACTTCTCTGGAATATTATTCTAAGCAGAATTATCCCTATTCATATATTCTAAGAATCTTGTGTGAATTGTTTACGAGGAAATTCTGACTGTCACATTAACAAGGATGAACACTCTTGACTCTGCTTCGGATTCCCCAGTGATAATTGTATCGAGTGATGAAAGAGCTGACGGCGACATTTTAATGTATGATTGGCTTGGACCATTGGAATGAAGGTTAGAATATTTTTATTACTTAAAATTTACACTACTGATTACATGACAGTGACACACATTGATGTTATTAGAAATACACAGACACACCGATATATTATCTGTTTTACAGTTCAGACGCTCTCTGTTTACCTTGTAAATCCCCACAGCTTTATATTTTTTTTTTTTTAAATTTGAGGATGTAATTTCAACAGTCCTACTATCTATCATAGTGATCATACTCTATAATTCAAACTGCACTTAGTGTTACAGAATATATTCAACTAATTATATATTGACAGTGTGACTGTAAGGGTGAGGGCAGATACTTATTTAGTTTTAATTTAGATTGTGCTTGTCAAGCCGCATTTGACATTTGGTGCATCCATGCTCAGTGTTCACACTGAGAGTTTATTCAAATGTTTAATTCGAATGAATTCACTGCTCGTTAAATTACTTCCCATTAGCTCCATGTGAACATGAGTAAGGATAGCTAATTCAAATTAAATAGAAATGAATTTTGAATGTAGCTTAAACATTTTAAAGAAGCTAAGCACTGTGGGTCCAAAGTATACTGCGGAAAAATTGTGTGGAGCAATGGGCAAGTCACAATCTTCTTTTGCCAAGGTCTTATCATAAGAGCTCGCATTATGGGCAGGGATTTGTGCTGCTGTCTGGACTCGCTTTAAATAGATGTTCTCAAAAAGTCTAAATTATTTAATATCATACTTTACTGACAAAAAAGGACAAATATTGCTCAGTTAAATTGCAAAAGAAATTTGTTTAAAAAAATTGTAATAATAGAAAGTTTGCTTTTTTGTTTGATAAGACTGCTGTAATGGTTTAATGTTTGTTTATTTGCCTTAATCATACATTTTTCAGTCATTTCATGGTGCCACCACTTGGGATGGTATTAGCTGCAAATATAGACTTGTACTCAGCACTTATTGCCTTTAAGAAGTATGAGATCCATTTTGTGCTAACACCTACCGTGACACAGAATCTTGGTTTATGCAGTCTCATAGGAGTAACCTGTCTAAAGCATTTAGCAATGGGATTGGAACCTGCGACGTAAGGTTCAGCTTCTTATTGATACTTTGATTTAATATTTATTTGAGAATTTCACTCATTCACATACTTAGAGATGTTGATATATATTGTTGAATAGCATCAATTTAGACCTTTACTTGGCTAAGTAAACATGTACTGTGAGGTTTTTAAGGTCTCATTCATTTTATATGCCAGATGCATGTTAAGGAACATTACTGCATAAATGTTTTTGTCTTAAATTTGAAGCTCTTTACTAATATAAAGATATGTTAGTGTTAAACCTCTTCAAATTAGGGTAGACCTTTACTTTAAACTCAGCAATGTGAGTGTGTTGTGTGAACTTGTGTTAGCGAGACAGTGTGTTGTATGAATTTGTGTTAGCAAGGCAGTGTGTTTTGTGAACTTAATTGTGTTAGCCTGACAGTGGGTTGTGTGAATTCTTGTTAGCTTGACGATGTGTTGCGTAAACTCGTGTTAGCGAGACAGCGTGTTGTGTGAAATCGTGTATAAAGTGTAAGTGTGACAGTGTGTTGTGTAAACTCGTGTTAGCTAGACAGAGTGTTGATTGAACTCGTATTAGCGAGACTTCGTGTTTTGTAAACTTGTGTTAGTGAGACTGCGTGTTGTGTAAACTCGTGTTAGCAAGACTGCGTGTTGCGTAAACTCATATTAGCGAGACAGCGTGTTGTGTGAACTCTTATTAACAAGACAGCATGTTGTGTGAATTCGTGTTAGCGTGACAGTGTGTTGTGTGAACTTGTTATCCTGAAAATTTGTCGTGTGAACTGGTGTTAGAGAGATAGTGTGTTGTGTGAACTCATGTTAGCGAGATTGCATATTGTGTGAACTCGTGTTAGCCAGACTGCGTGTTATGTGAACTCGTGTTAGCGATATTGCATGTTTTTTGAATTTGTGTTAGCGTGACAGTGTGTTGTGTGAACTCGTGTTAGCCTGACAGTGTGTTGTGTGAAATGGTATTAGGATGACAGTGTGTTGTGTGAAATGGTATTAGGATGACAGTGTGTTATCGCAACAGTGTTTGGTGCGAACTTGTGTTAGTGAATAGTGAGACAGCCTGTTTTGTGAATTCGTGTTAGTGTGACAGTGTGTTGTGTGAACTCGTGTTAGCCTGACAGTGTGTTGTGTGAAATGGTATTAGAATGACAGTGTGTTGTGTGAAATGGTATTAGGATGACAGTGTGTTATCGCAACAGCATTTGGTGCGAACTTGTGTTAGTGAATAGTGAGACAGCCTGTTTTGTGACTTTGTGTTAGCGTGACAGTGTATTGTGTAAACTCGTGTTAGCGTGACAGTGTATTGTGTAAACTCGTGTTAGTGAGACTGCGTGTTGTGTAAACTCATGTTAGCATGACAGTGTGTTGTGTGAATTCATCTAAGCGTGACAGTGTGTTGCGTGTACTTGTGTTAGCTAGACAGTGTGTTGTTTGAACTCGTATTAGCGAGACTGCATGTTGTGTAAAATTTGTGTTAGCAAGACAGCGTGTTGTGTGAACTTGTGTTAGTGAGACAGCGTGTTTGTGAATTTGTGTTAGCATGATAATGTGTTGTGTGAACTCATGTTAGCCTGATATTTTGTTGTGTGAAATTGTATTAGCGTGACAGTGTGTTGTGTGTTAGTGTGACAGCGTGTGGTGCGAACTTGTGTTAGTGCGAAAGTGTTTTTCAGTGTTGTGATGGCGAGCTGTGTGATAGCCTAATGGCGTCTTTTGTGTCGGTAAGATGGCACGCTTTTATGAAAGTGCTATTGAGCTTTAGCAAGTGGCCCTATCTGGACACGCCTTATTATAATTGATCAGTTCTCAGATATACAGTGAATTACCGGTATTATTGTCACCATGAAATCAGCATTTACAGTTGCAATTACCTAGTTAGTAATCATAAGATATTGGTTTGCCAGTTTTAAAATTATGGTGTTCCAATGATGTGAAGTTGCAGTGTGTTAGCATGTTAATTTCAACAGACTGCCACTCCAATGCAGCTTTAAACAACACGCTGCTGTGTTTACACAAAACAAAATATCATGCAAACACAACTCTAAACAATCTGTTGAGTGTTAGCTTCACTGCATGTTGGATTCAGTGTGCTGGCATATTATCACTGATGTACATGCTAGCACATTGTCACCTCGTGCTAGTATGTTGTCATAAATACTCTAGCACATTATTCTAAACCCACTAGTGCATGATTACTTTGCACTTGTATGTTGTCTTATTAGGGGATAGCATAAATGACTGCCTTAATTGGTGTAAACTTCTTTTAATTGATGAAAGAGTACATTAAAATTTACAAATTATACACAGAAAATGTGACAATATCTTATCTCTCAATTTGATAATCTAATTTATAATCTCATGAATTGCACTTTTTATTAGTAAAAGAATTATAAATTAAAAAATTTCAATTTCTTTTGGATAGGTGTGACTCATCTGAATACTGAATTTTGATACCAAGCATGACCATGATTTGCCAGAAGATCATCTGTTTGGATGTGACATGGAATAAACAGCATAGTGAAAATAAGTCAAGTTTTGGTTTGTGAAGACAATTTTTAAACACACTGTGTATCATTTTTAGATTTTGATTTGACAACTTAAATCCACAAATATGAACATATCAATTGCTCTCAGTTTTTCAAGTGAAATAGTTTTTGTAACAGAAATACATGTACCAGTAATTACATTGGAATAAATGTTATTTTTAAATATAATAATATTTTGTTTGTGTTGCATGTTGACCTCTTTATTAAGGTCTTCCTTTTCAAAGTTTAGACTTACTTATTCTAATGATTAAGATAGATCCTCTGTCTTCAGCAGGAGTATAAGATCTTGTAATACATGTATGTGTATTTTTACAGTATAATGTAAAAAATTGTTATTTTGGCACATACAACTAAATAAAGGCATAAACATGTGTATGATTCCAAGGAATTCAGTACATAGGGCATGTACATGTAGTTTTCTAAAACAAGATTGAAGAGATGTCCAGTCGCATTTCAATGTCAACTGCAAAACTGTGCCTGTTGCATACTTATTAGCCCATCTGAGCTAAAGGAACCAGTAAATTTTTTAAAAACATAATTTTATCCATTATCATCATTGTCTAAAATTTCACAATATCATTTTCCAGAACCAAAGTGAAACTTGGCACAGAGCATCCTTAGTGTAGGGGATTCAAATTGTTCTTATGCAGGGCAATACCTTCAAAGAGATTTGTTTCTTTAATGCTGTAAATGTATTATATTTAGCTTGTACAATATTTGGTGGAAATTGACTTTGGAATAAGTTAGCGTAGATATTCTTATTAATGTTTATGTACAAGACTTTTAGCTTTGTACTTGATTTAGGGATTGCTGCATTCCGCCAAAGCCACTAAAAAAGAATACACAGCCATATGTAATATGTTCATAATATACCTTTCAGAGAATTTTACACTCCTATTGAGGTACCACCAGTTGCTAGTGGAAAGCTTCAAATTCGAAACATACACAACACATTTCTGTGCGTTTATTATAAAAGTATTGTTCTACTTACTGATTGCAACTAATGAAGATTGTTCATCATTATTGTAAATACATTTGGATTTTTTGATTTATAAAAATTATATAATTTGTTTATTTTATTTACCTAGTTATATTGTATATTAAATGATTTTAAAGCCATTTTTAAGATGGTAATGTAGCAAAACACTTATGTTTCTGTAGTATGACACGTTTCACAAACATAATTGCAACAAAGATGATTTATCCGATATCAAAAGTCATAATATTGGAAGTTTAACTGTTGTGGATACGATTTCAAGAATGCTGTTAGAGAGAGTACCCTTTAGACCTCATGCTCACACCAAATTAAAGAATTCAAGTAAGGGTTTTTGAGACAAATCGAAAAAGAGAATGTTAGCAAAGTTGACAATCTAGACAGAAACATTTAATCTTTTGCTTATCGCTAGGAAGGAAGACCCACTCGTTGCTTTGCAACGAGCTTTGCTCTAGTTTTATTATTATTGTTTTTTTTTCTTACCGATTTTGTACGTGCGATTTCTCGAGAACGGCTCGATCGATTTTCATGAAACTTTCAGGTCCGATAGAACATCAAAAAATCTAGATATATATTTTTTTATTTTAATGACGTCACTTCCGGTTCGGAGTTTTCTGCGATTTAGTGATTTTTAGAGGGTCACTTTGTCCGGCAGTTTTCTCAAAAAGCACTTAACGCAGAAGCTTGAAATTTTCAGTGATGCTTAGAGCAACCTTTGGAGAAGTGCACTAAGTATATCACAACTACCGGAAGTACGAAGCGCCGACGCTCGCTATGGCCCGAAAATAGTCCTATCAAAAATTTCAAATTTTAAGCACCTTTTCACCGATAACTTTTTACCTAGAAATATTTTGTTAAAGCATGTAGAACAAAAAAGTGTATAATTTCAAGATCTTTCAAATGACATCTAGAAAATAGGGGTGGCCCCTTAAATCAGGGGCCTGGAGGGGCCAAAATGTTTTCCTTTAAATCTCAAAAAGTATTGAGAATTTGTGATACGTCAAAAAGCAAAGTTGTTCAGAATGTCAAGCTTAATTAATTAAAGTCGTCAAAATACGCCCGGCGTCATCACTTCCGGTCAAACCGGAAGTAGTCGGAAAACGCGTATTTTTGCCGTTCTTGACAAGTTTTTTGGTAACATATGCCTCTGGGACCTTGAAAATTAATTTTTCGTCCGACGTCGTCACTTCCGGTCAAACCGGAAGTAACAGAAAATGGCTTGTTTTTGCAATAATTAAGGAAAGGATTGCACGGGTCCGTGAAAAAATTCTGCCCAATGAATTTTTCTCATTTTTATATATAACGTTCCTAATGTCAATGATACCATTATATCGAAGTATCAAGCATGGTCATCAGGCTTATAAGGAAGTTATGGTTGGCATGGTAACCACCATTTTTTAATCTTTTGATATTTATGAGGTGAATGTTTTATAATACCATACACGCAACAAAATTGAAGCAAATTAAATATTTTCCTGCAGATATTTGATAATATGCTTTATATTTATTGAAAATGAAAATTGTTTCGGAAACTATTGATAAATGTTGTAATGCCATTGTTTTGAGGGGAAGTATTAATTGTAAATTTGCAGTAATATTTTCAACCCAATAGCACTTTTTAACATCTAGACAAAAAATTACCCAATGAATTTTCCCAAAACTAATGTATTCTGTACTAGTCATTATAAGTGACCTATGGTTAAAATATGAAGTAAGGTAATCAGATTAATTTTGAAGCTACTCGGATTTCAGTACCCCCCCCCCCCTTTGAATATTAAACGATTTCTCAGATTTTCATATGATGGTTTGTTGTTGGACCTTAAATATGCATAATCTGTTTAAAGACAATAAAGGCCATATGTATAGATAAATAAATACTTTTTCTCTGAAAATCTGGCAGCTGATGCTCATTTTATATGCGAAGCACAATGATTTACTTATCACCAACAGTGGCCACGAAAGAACTTTTTTTTCTCAAACTCATCCAGTTTTTCATCTCCAAAACATTCATTTTGTTACTATATCAGTATAAATAAATAACAAATTATAAACCAGTGCACAGTCCTCAAAGGCCTTATTCTTCATGCTTTGAAAACTCAGCGATGTTTCTTCTTAGTGACCTGGAATCTGCAGTGTGTGTGTGTGTGGGGGGGGGGGGGGGGGGTTAAGACATTTGAACACATTGAATGAAAAGAGGTTATTTTATAAAACTTGTAACTGCATTACATTTTTTTAAAATAAATCTATTCATCCATAAATAATCTTATTGGCCAAATTATAGTAATTCTAAATATTCACATTTACAAATAGTTTTCCTTCCGATTCTTTTCAAGTAAGTGCACTTCATTTTCTCCTGTACATGGATGATCGCTATCTCCATTGTGACGTCATAATGACACAATTGACGTCAAACTATAGATCTACTGTTTTGATCAAAAAATAATCATTGATTGAAAAAACTTTCCGTCGCTTTATGATATATGCTGGAGTGAAATATCTATGTTCATGTCCATGTGATTAAAAATAAAACATTTTTCAAATGTATTCCCGTAAGCATGAGGAGTTCACATGTTTCTTTTATTTATTTATGTACATGCATATCTTCCCTGGTATTCTTTCAGATTAAGTGTGTTGTGTTTCAATACGACGCATAAAACATTTTACAACAATCATTTACAATACTGTATATGTAAGACAATGATTGAATGTTTACACGGTCAATGTGAAATGCTAAAGATCTTATAGGAGAAAACAAAGTACTCTGCGATATTTTTTTTAAAGATATGTCTTCTAGGCATAAGTGGTCTTCGCCGTAACACCTTTATCGAAATCGCCTTCGTTTATCAATATCTATACATGTATCTAGTAAATCACGTCGTCTGAATCTCTTATTGGAAATTATGTGTACATAGATGTAGATCCTATGATAAACAACAATCTTAAATAAAATTCTAATTTTAAAATGAATATATAAACCTCAAGATATAAATCAAATTTATTCATAATGAAATAGATTTCAATGTTTAGATATATACAATAAATAGACGTGTCAAATTATAAAGCATGCACGTAGATAAAAATATGATCAACGCTCACCAGCACTCTCAGTGCATCGTAACAATCTTTAATATCTTATACTTTCTCTACTTTAGAAAAATAAACCCCTTTTGTCATGAGCGCAAACATATGACGCTCCTTATTCCGGAAATAATTACAGCAAACATTCTTTTTTTTATCCATCAAATGACGTGATCACGTGACGCCGTGCAATCGCGTCCTTAACATGGATTTAGAGGAATCAAACCATTTTTAGACGTTATATCTCATTTTTGTTAAAAATGAAAGCCACTTCCGGTCAAACATGACGGAAGACCTACTCGTTGCTTTGCAACGAGCTTTGCTCTAGTTCTTATTATTCTTTTTTTTTCCCTTTTCCTAGACGCCAACTTTGAGGCCTCATATTTCACTCATTTCTCAATGGATTTTGCTCAAATTTTCAGAGTTTATAGACGTTACTAAATTCTATCAGAATGCTATCTAAAATTTCAAAAAGTCACTTCCGGTTTTGAGTTATTTCCCTTTAAACAAAAATTTATAGGCTTTCGTTTCCAGACAAAGGCTCAGAGACGGCTAAAGCCGGAGCAGAAATTTTACTGATTTTAGATAATACAAGGATTGAAGTTGTGCATGGCGGTGGGTGTTTTTCGATTTTTCTATTCAAAATGGCGCTATATAGGGGTCAAAAATTAGAACGCCTAAAAGAGCGAAAATTTACACATATTTTGCTTTTTATCTTCTAAAGTAAAAATATTTCGTTTTAACATATAGAACGAAATTTGTGCAGAATTACAAGATCTTACAAATGATATCTCGAAAAAAGGGCTGACCCCTAAATTAAGGGATCTAGAGGGGCCAAAAGTTTTTTCCAGATATTTCAAAAAGTATTGAGAATTTGTAATACATCCAAGAAGCAAAGTTGTTTACAATGTCAAGCTTAATCTATTGAAGTCGTCAAAATGCGTCCGGCGACGTCACTTCCGGTCAAACCGGAAGTAGTCAGAAAATGCATATTTTTGCCGTTCTTGACAAGTTTTTGGGTAACATATGTCACTGGAAGCATAAAACTTAATTTTCCGTCCATCGACATCACTTCCGGTCAAACCGGAAGTAGCAAAAAATAGTTTATTTTTTGAAGTTTTGATGCAAAATTGAAATTATAAAGTGAATGGAGACGACTAAGCTCATTGCTTTCTTTTGTTGACGTGACTTCCGGTCAAAACAGGACGGAAGACCTACTCGTTGCTTTGCAACGAGCTTTGCTCTAGTTATGTTCCCCAAACGAAGTTGGGGAACATATTGTTTTTACTCTGTTTCTTATTATGTCGCCCCGAACGAAGTCGGGGACGACATATTGATATTGTACGCATGTTTTTTTTATCCATGCTGTTTCTCGGAGATGGCTGGGACAATCTTCCTGAAACTTTCCTCAAAAGACGATCACTGGTTGTAGTTGTGCAGTGAGGTCGTTCAGTTCCAATATGTCTACCGTTGCCATGGAAACCTGTAAAAAGCGACGAAAAACCTGTAAAAAGCGACGAATTTTGTCCGCGAGTGTTCTCTCTGGTCCCTTAAACGTTCGTCATGAAACTTTTCTTATTTTAATGATTAGTATCTGTAGTTGTGCGATTCGCACTTAAAATTTTCAAATAATCGATTATTGCCATGGAAACCAGGGGAAAGTTAAAATTCTTTTATTTCGATTTTCTCAATAACTGCGCAAGCAATCGTTTTGAAACTTTCAATGTTTATTCCTTGCAATGTGTCAAAGTGATTTCTACTTTTAAAATAATTGTAATGAGTCGCTCACAGTTGCCATAGAAACGAAACAGAAAAAAAGGTTAAGATGTACACATGTGTTCTCCAAGGTCTAAGTCAAAGGGTCAAAGTTCTTCGTATCCAAAAAAAGTTCTTTTCACAAGGATTACATATTTGAAATACGAAAGCCCTAGCCCTTACCGTTCAAACGTTATGGCTAAGGTA